GTATCATACTGATTGGAAATAGGAGTCTCCATCAATAAGCACAGGAATATAGCAACCCACAAAAATAAATCCCTGCACCCCAATTTGGTTCCTTCAAAGGACAGTCTGAGGGATATTGTTCGAGTATACTATGGATTCACTAGACCTATAAACAGAAGGCATGTGGTTTAGCCCCTACATGCCCACTCCGCCTCCTCAGAGAAGACTGTCAAGGAGGCTGGAAATAGGTCCCACTCCTCGAACCAAACCATTAGCAGCTAACCAGCTGATTCAACAGGCTATTTCGGGGAGAAAAGGCTCTATGCTGGACACGTTGACAGACCAGGTCAAAGGGGGGTCCGTAATTTTCTGGGCCAAAAGCCACAATTATTTCAAGCACTTCTTCTTCATGGGCTTCCACAAAAATTGATAGGCCATGCTATTCTTAGGGCCCATACACGTTCCCTGTGCTTCACTATGGAGACCCCCGAATCTGGTCAGACTAAACTAAACTTTATGGCTGCTCTCTAGGCAACACTGGCCCACAAGGAATAGGGGGCATCTTTTGAGATCATGATCGATGGAAACAAGGGATAGGGGGCATCTTTCTCTAAGTTCATTGGTCATGCTCACTTCAACACCGCCGAGGCCCTAGCCCTTCTAGAGGGTCTCAGAAATTTCGATCCTAGCTGGAGCACTTTTTTGGCCATTGAGGGGGAGACTCCAAAAACATCGTCACCTGGCCCTTAGGATTATCGGCCTTTCCCTGTGAGACTAGCATACATTTTTTACGAGATATTCCATATTTGCTGGGTTATGCAAGTCTGATGAAGGCATACCTGGCGCAAGGCCAACGCAGCAGCAGAGGATATCGCTAAGGAAGGAGCGACTCGAGGCATAACGGGAACCATTTTGGCACCTTTTTGAGCTCCTGGTTTCGGTTATTTGTGTGGATCAGAAGGAGAGACTCGAAGCATACTCTATTTCCCTTTCTTGTATAGTCCACCAAACAGCGGGAGTTTTGTATACAGCACCATGTCTATGGGTTGCAATTTTTGTAAGTTCCATACCCTCCTTTTAATAAAAATGTTAACAGATTCAGAAAAAGAAAAAAAAAAAGAAAAAAAGAAAAAAAACAGATGATTAAGAAGCCCCCCTGTGCATTGGAATCAATCAAATGCAAGTCCTAAGCTTAGTACTACAGATGGAAGACAATAACTAGATTTCAGCATAGCACCCTGGATGGCATGAATTGTATCTTATCGTGACAGGCCAGATCATATCAGCAGCAAAATCTGAACCATGAAGAACTCTACTCATTACTGGCCAGGATAACCACAACTTCAAAAAGTTACTAGTGCACTGGCCAACCTCTAAAAGTAGGCATGAAAATTCATTTCCAATAGGCAGCTCAAAAGTTGCCCTCTCGCTACTATGCAAGAGCTTTGAATTTTCAACCCACGGGAGTTATATAGCTCGCCTACCAAAAGTAAATTGAAGTGTAAACTCCTCAACCTTGTAACCATAGAGTGCATTCCATGATCTCAAAAAGTATAGAGGGCATAGATCAATCGAAGTTTGAACTTTTGAAGCCTTGGATATTGCCCAGACACATTTTCTTGACACAATTAAAAAACTTTCTTGACACAATTCAACAGCCCAGTGTGGACTTAAACACCCACAAAATACAATAAATAGCAAATCACAGTAAAGAACTTTAATCATAGAAGCCTCATCAATATGAATGGCATAGATAAATTCAATTGCAAGGGATGAAAAAGTGAGGAAATGGCCAGTCTTAGTTACCAGTAGGGTTGCAAGGGGTCAAACAGCCGGGCCCCCAAAAACTAGGGCCTACGCGCAAAATGTGGCCAGAGGGCCAGGTCAGGGCCTGGCCACCAAGGCCCGAGGGCAGGGCAGGGCCAAGCTAGGCTGGGCCAGGGCCATGACATGGCCGGCCTATTTCAGCCCAACCCGGCCTTTTTTTCCCTTCATTGTTTTTCTTTTTCCCCCTTTAAATGTAATTTTCCCTACCTGGCTTGACCCTGACAGGCCAGGGCCTCTTTGGCCTGGTCCGGGCTGGGCTGGGCTCAAGCTGGCTCTATAGGGACTCAGGCCGGACTAGGCTCAGGACCACTCCGTTGCCAGACTATTTACCATGATCCCCCAACTTGGTGGAGATTCCAGTGATCCCACTTTCCCAGTGTGCAATCTTGGACAGATCCCTCTCCCATATGAGGCAACCCGATTACAATACCGTAGAGATTGGTCAAAATAATTTACACCCATATAGCTATATCCTTTAAAAGGAAACAAAGTCTAAATGCATATCAATGAAAAAAAGAAAAGAAATAATATTGCAAAATCAGGTTCTGTATATTTTCCAAAGGGAAAGGAGATGCTTTGATCTATGTCTATCAAAAAAGAAAGTCTTAAATTTCAATAAAAAAAGAAAGAACTATTGACGCAAATCCATGTAAAGTACGTTTGCCTAAGAGGAAAGATGCTAAAATCCAGATCAATCAACCTCAATGTAATGGTTCCAAAATCACATTTAAAGAAGAGACAATATGTCTAAGTTTAGAAACTTTGAAAGAAAATTCATCTCTTACTTATATCTGTCTTTATCCCTTTTTATTTATTATCTCTTTTTTTTTTGGGGGGGTCCATCAGTGAGGGAGAAGGCCCTCTACCCGTTTTTCATTAATAAAAGATAGAAAAAATTACATCGTACTATTTGTTTATTATCTCTCTGCATATGTTAGTTTATCTTTTAATTCAAAATGAAGGAGTAGGGAAAGAGAAGCGCAGGGTTAATTGGATAAGAGTTGACGAAATAAATGAGTCTACAAATTTGCTTGAGAAATGTATTTTAATAAAATAAATATATATTGAATATATTTATTATATATCTATATATAATTTCTAAAAATGGGCGTATTTTTTTTTTAGATTTCTTTATAGTATATATTTATTGAACAAGCACTTTTATGTCATTCGAAACCTAGATATCATCTTGCTACTTAAAATTGCCTACTCCCACACCGAACCCACTTCCAACAACTTTAGCCCAGATACATTTAGCAACTCAACTCAACAACAATGTGTTGACCTAGAATAGTATTTGCATTATTCAATGCCACAAATTCCTGAGCAGCACATCACTATAATAATCTCAACCATAAAACATTATGAGACAATCTTCTCCCCAATAACCACTAAATGATTATACAGGAGACCCAAACTATCACTATGCATAACAACTTTTAATTTTTATTACTCAATAATGCAATGGAAGACCAAAACCGAAAGGCCACATCAACCAATAGAAAACTAGGCAAAGGAAGGACATAGCAAAGATTTACGAGTAGACCAGGCCTAAAGATATGCAAGCTTTTACAAGTACAATGGGAAGAACATCACCTCAATGAAGATGCAAAAAGCCCTTACATTTTACAGCTTTAAATCCTACAGTGGAAAACCATCTTCACAACTTCAAGCAAGAACTTGAACAACCACACTCTTAAAATTATCCATGTCAAGAGGTTTTCATCATATACTTGCATCACTAAGGTCCCTATCCACATTCTCATCAGGCACAACTCAGAAAAAGATGTGAGGTCATAAGATGCATACTTCAGTAAAATCGCACCCACATTCTTTACCTAATGATCCTCCACCCACGCACACGTAGCAATAATCATCACTCCTAGACGCCTTGCAACCTCCAAGACATGAATAGGAGCCCAAAAATTCAATCACCCCATCCACAAGGGGTCCCTCTATCACCCATATCATCTTACATTAAGCCGTACAACAGATTCTTGGTGGCATAAATGGGCTTTACTAGCCACCTGAAAGAAGAAAGTCTGCCCTTGGTTCAGTTGCCTACACCTAATTCAACATTGCATCAAGCAGAATTGGAAGATAGGACATCAAATAATTGACAAAGCTACACCTCCTAGCGTGCACCTAAAATGTCTATTAGTTGCAACCAACAACCGATAAGCAGGGATTGTACTATGAGACTTAGCAAAACCAGAGCTCAGAGCCATGTGAAATCTGTAGAATTGCACAAACCATTAAAGAAAAAAGGAATTCCATCGTTAGCAAAATGGATCTCAACTAGAAATAAATAAAGTTGATAGACTGCTGAGCCTTCCTTACAAATTACTCTGCCCCAAATATTGACAATGGAGGTTGCTCCCTTGTATATGATTCTACGAACTTAAGGCTACCTCCAAGACCAAAAACCTAAACACCTGTCTCCCAAATCCTTTTTGCCACCCAACCCCATCTCTACACCTAAAAAATCCTCCTACTCACCCTTGTGCCACAAATGTCACTTATAGCATTCATTTAGCTTGTATAGTACCCGGTTCCACCAACCAGCAACTCCAGATAAAATTTATCTGTTTATGAGGCAATTTATCCACTCCTTTCTACGAGGACATAATGCCCACATTTACAATTTAGTGAATTCTAATTTGATCCAATTGATGAATTATCATCTACTATCAAATCAACAATTATTGTCAAATGATTCAACCATTGGTTCACATGACCAATTTCTGCTGCAGGTATCGACACATTCATTTTCACCTTGTATTCTTAAATATCTGATTTACTTAGCAGTTGTCACATATAGGAATTCACTCGCAGATACGTCATGCATCCTCAATACACTTTATCCTCATTTACTTCTGTTCATCTATTCATCATCTCAACATATGGCCCATATGTCTTAGTTAAACTTCATATCAAACATCCTCCATCATTTCACAATCCAGTGTAAATAGACAAAATATCCAATGAATCAAGAAATTATAAAAAATCAAAATGAAGGAAATAAATTTACTCCATTAACAAAAAGTTCAAAATAGGTTACAAAGATCACAATATGATGTAAGCATTATAGAACCACAATGTCCAGGATATAGTCACATCAACTTGAAAATGCGAACAATTTCAGCACTGTTCAATCACATAAAGAGTTTCAAAAAGGGACTCAGATTACTTACGTTGTTCCAAAGAGTGCAATCTTTTGAACCTTGGTGAGATCAGCTCCAGATTGGTTGTCCTCAATAAAAATAGTCAAGCTAAACGCAAACCAAAATCAATAACTCTTTGTACTCCTGTTTTAGCCAGCAAGAAAAAACATGCTAAAGGGTGGAAATAGAAGATGCACACATTAAAAGGAAAACACGATTTACCTCCGAACATTCTGAAATTTTACATACTTCAACGTAACCGGTTTTCCCTACATTTCAATAAGAAAAATACCATTCAGGTTTATGTCCATATCAAAGAAATAAATGGCACTACATCAAATACCTTCTCTTTAACAATTTAGAGCTGTGATTAAGGAACATTGTTACATGGGGCAACATTCAAAATCTTACCTTGAGATGAGCTGTGGTCAACACTACGGAGTCGCTGGCTGGGTAGTCATTAACATTACTGCAAATTAACTTCTGACTTAGTATAAAAGTGGTTATAAATGTTTAGGCTCGTCATCCAATCACCAGAAATAAATCACCTCAGATAGGGAAAAAAAAAAGGGGGTCAGAAAGTGTTTGAACTGCACCTAAAACCCATGTGCTCCTTGTTTGCAAACAACTTTACCATCCTAGGGCCTGCCAAAAAAATCATCTCAAAATGATATTTGAACAAAATAAGTAAATCAAAACATGGATTCCATATTCTCAAATTCATGGTGATCTCAAGTTTCTAACGGAAAATAACGCAACAGACGTATAAAACCTGATGATACTAGGAAGAAAGCAATAGTTTCTGGAATCGATTACAGCAATATCAAATATAACGATTGCTACGAAAAGCAGCAATCGGTATTGGAACCGACTATGGCAACATCACAGTCTAGGGACGATCACAAACATAGCAAAACCCTAGAATTGTAATGAATCATTCATACCATCTTCTTCCGGACCCTTAATTAGAATAGAATGCAACTTAATAACTTGCTTAAATGGCATGTATATTAGCAGCTGCTCATCTGCATCACTCTCTAAATATAATCCCTCATCTTCTCGATAACCCTGTTCCAAGAAAGAATAAATAAATAAACAAGATGTAGTTTGAAACTTAAGATGGATACAAACCCTATTTTTACTTAATCATAGGAGAAAAAGAAACTCTGAGCCATTATTGACCTGTTTTAGAGCATTGACGAGGGAATGACCAGTGTTTTGATTGAGACATTCAACTCCGCTCCAGTCCACAAAGTCCACTAAATCTACCTGGTTGAATTTTGGTGAACAAAGGGGATTTCTATGAGCATTAATGTGATCAATCGTTCCCATCATGAAATTCTCGTTGACAGTGAGAGAGAGAAAGCAGAGGAGAGAGAAAGAAATGGAAAATAGAGAAAGAAAGTAGAGTACCTGGCTTCTCTGGAGAGCGCCAGCGGGTGCTGCAGCGGCTGGTTCGGCGGCCATGGCGAACGCGAAGACAGGTGAAGATGGGAAACACCCTTTTCGCAGCAGAGAGGAAGTTAAATGAAGAAATAAGCCTGTTCCCTACTTTTCCAATAATAAAACAGTGGATACTTTCGGTTTGCATAGAGGTGAGGCTCCAAACAATCAAATTAGAGCCCACCTTCAAATAGTGTCGAGAAATGTGTGGTTTCAATATTGGAAATCTTTGACCGACCTTAAAATATATTTTCATCTTTGATTATAAATTTAAAGTTTAAAAAATAGTGTTAATAAAGTATATCTTTAAAAACTTGAATAATTTAAAAAATTGACGGTCAAAAAATATATTACAAGATTAACTATTTCTAAAACTTGAAATCTATTTTTTTATCAAATCCATGCATCTTGATGTCGAGATGATCAATTTTAAAATATTTGAATGTCAAAACGACCTCTTCTAATGAAAATTTTGAAGTAAGCTCTAATTTGATTGTTTAGAGCCTAGGCTCTATATCTGGTGCCGTAGGCAAATTGCTAAAAGATGCCGTTTTAGAGGAATCATGTAAAAAGGAGAGCTTCTTAATAAATCTATTTTTGAGATGGATTTTAAAACTTAATTTTTAAAGTACATGTAATCTCCACTGTAGAGATCATGAATATGAAAAAATAAATGACTTTTAAAAATGAGAAATAATAATTCTATTAATAATAATTATAATTAGTTTTCATTGTATTTAGATGGCACACCTACTTGCATCCATCTTTAAGATGGATGCTTTACAATTTCTGGACTGAATGTAGTTTCATGCGGCAGGGACTGCATTTCCACATTTGCAAATAAGTGGTCCATCTAAAAATAATTGAAACTAATCATCCAAATGTCTTCTTAATAGAATTATTATTTTTAATTTTCAAAATTTATTTTTTTATTCATTGTCATAATCTCCATGTTAGAGATTAAATGTCCTTAAAAATTAAGTCCAAAAACCCATCTCAAAAAATAGATTTTTAAGAGGTGACTCATTTCTACATGGACTCATAAAAACCGTGTCGTATTTTAAAATTTAAAATAAGTAGTCTAGATAATGTATTACAAAATGCATTAGTTTTAGGGAAATCGTATAAGATGTACACCTTGTATAAATTTTTCCACAAGTATTTAGATATGTCTGACAAATTTTAAATTTCGACACAGTTGTGGTGAGTTAGCCCACTCACCTATTTTTGGGCATCTACATATGTGTCAAATATCCATCTTTAAGATTAATGTCAAAAAATTGTGCCTCTACTAAAAGCCGAAATGGATGGTGGAAAATAGAATTTTAAAACTTTTTTAAAAAAGAAAAAGAAGTTAGATTCATGATCATCCTCATCGTTGACATTAGCAAACCCTAAAATTTCGGAGGGGCTTGCTTGTACATGAAGATAGACTTGAGATGGATTTTGGAGGGGCTTGTACATTAATAGGTGATCAATTCACCAAATATTTTTTCTTTAAATTTTACATTCATGTGTTTTTGTTTTCAAAACACCTTTGATTTGGTGCTATTATTTATATACCAATGTATGCACTTTGAGAGCAGTTTGGGAATGCTTTGATGTATGCTTTTTTGTAAGGCAAAGCAATTTAGAATTATTAACGCATTAAAAAACCACTAACAATTTAAAAAACGGATAAAGGCTCGTCATCCCCATTAAATTATCCAAAAAAAGAAAAAAAGGCCAATACACCCTTTGGACATGACAACGTATCTATAAAATGCATGAAATTATTCATTGATGAAAAAAATTTTGTACAAGCATCAAATCAATGAGGACTTTGGCCAACTCAAAATTGGTCCAATTGCCAATCAAATTAGTTAGATTGGATTTTAAAAAATTAGACAAAAAAGAGGAGCAATATTTTAAAGGGTGCAGTTTGTATAGAGCCTAGGCTCTAAACAATCAATTTAGAGCCTACCTTCAAATAATGTCGCGAAATGTGGTTCCAATACTGTAAATCTTTGTGATAGTCTTAAAATATATTTTCATTTTTATTTATAAAGTTTAAAGCTTTAAAAAATAGTGTAGATTGACAGATCTATGAAAACTTGAAATCTTGAAAATTGACGGTCAAAAAATGCGTTACAAAATACACTATTTCCAAAACTTTACATCTAGTTTTTTTCTCACGTCCATGCATCTTGATGTCGAGATGATCAACTTGAGGATATTTGGGCATCAAAACAACCTCTTCTAGTAAAATTTTAGAGGTAGGCTCATATTTGATTGTTTAGAGCCTCAGCTCTATGTAAACTTTTCCCTATTTTAAAGGAATTGTGTTGAGAGACCATATCCATATGTGTTTTGTATAAGGATGTCACAATCAATTTTATCTATTCGAAATGAAATCCAATAGATGAAAGTGTGTCACAACATTCAAAAAATTTAATTTTAGATTGTGTGTCTAAACAATGACACATCATCAACTACCAAAGTCAAATCTAACGGTCAACAATGATTGTGACATCCTTGCATCAAAAGTAAATGATCATATTCAATACATTTTATATTTTTAAAATATCAAAATATATATTACAAAAAGGTTTTTAGATCTATTTAACTCGGGTAACATGTCTAAGACCAACCTATCTCTCTGACCAAAACCTATTAAATATTAGCTTTGATCAATTTTCAGTCCAACCCTATTTTTACTTTGAACCATGATGGTCAAAGCACCTTTCTATGGTCTACTAGGTCAAATTGGTAGGTCCAAGTCCATTCTTAATAACTATGATAAAATTGTAATTTGGTGAATGATGTTCGAATGCTCAGATTTGGATAGCTCATTTTTGGTGGGGTAGGCCGTGGTGGGGTAGGTCGTAGTGGGCTAGGTCTTGGTGTTGGTGGTAGTAGTTGCTAGGAGGTGGTCATCGCAGCAACAACATTGACAATTTGATAGTGATGGTATTGGTGGCTAGATGCCAGCAACAATGGCAATAGTAGTTGCCAAGAGTTGGTGGTGGTGGTGGCGGTGGCAGCGGCTGTGCAACGGTGGTGGAGCGAGTGGTGATGGTCTCGTGTGGCATGTGATGAAGCATTTAATGGTGGTGGTGGTGGCAGCAGCAATGCTGTGCAATAGTAGTGGTGGTGGAGTAGCAATGTCGTAGTGGTAATGGTGGGGTCGGATGGTAGTGTTGGTGGAATGCTAGTGCTATTGCAGTGGTGGTAATGGTGATCCTAATGGTGGTGGTGGTGGTGGTGGTGGTAATGGTGATCCTAATGGTGGTGGTGGTGGTGGTGGTAATGGTGATCCTAATGGTGGTGGTGGTGGTGGTGGTGGTAATGGTGATCCTAATGGTGGTGGTGGTGGTGGTGGTAATGGTGATCCTAATGGTGGTGGTGGTGGTCGTGGTGATGGTAATGGTGATCCTAATGGTGGTGGTGGTGGTGATGGTGGTGGATAATTAGTGGAAAAGCCGCTCCAAGTAGCTTTTGTCACGAATTGCAATAAGGACTCAACTTGCAATGAGTTCCTAATCGCAAATTGAATATGAAATACGGACTAAATTGTAATAGTATTATTTGATCCATCATAACTGGGTCCTCAAATTTACTCAAGCAAAAATTATATGAGAAGTACCCCATAGGAGAGGTTGCAACTGTTACAAACCTCAAAAGGAACCCAACCGAAAATAAGGTATTTTTGAAGTCTCAAAACTATTGTCATATTCGGAACGCATGATATGACTCCCAGGAGAATTTGTTTTTTCAAAAAAAGGAAGAAAACCTTAATTCAATGGACCAATAGGTAAACCATACTCCATTTGGTCATCACCGTCTTAGTTTAAGTCCACTTAGACTTGGCCCCTTGGGAGCAGAGTTACCCTGAGTTACTCGATACAAATCGGGGCATAAAAAAGAAACAGAAAAATTCTTTAAAAAAAAGGGGATTGATGTATAAATTTTTTTATATATGATTTCGATGTTATTGGCGAAGACTGAAGTTTTTTATTTTTTGCCATAGTCGTGGGAGGCAAGGTCACACAGGGGATAGG